CTGGACTGTGCAGTTGTTTCACCTCTGGGGAGAAGGCCTTCTTGGATAAGCCCCTTTTCTCTTGCTTCTTGGGCTGGGTGGCACATATGGTTAAAAGTGGTCAACCATTATGCAAAAGGTTGGTGGTTCGAGCCTATCCAGAGGCTTTTTGGAAATCTGCTTCCAAAAGGTCTCTGTCTTGAAAACCCTATGAAACGTGTCTACTGTGCACATATGGGGTTGCCATTAGTTGAAATCCACTTGACACAATGATCAACAACAACAACCAGGGGTTGACTCAGGGCGGCGGAGAGAGGTCCCACTGCTCTTCCTCTGAAGGCCTACCTGCCTGCCTGCCTGCCAGAATCTAGCAGGTGGCCCTTCTTGAATGAGCAGCGCAGCCCCCAGGAGAGTCTGTAATCCTGAATTCTCCAGAGAGTATTACAGAGCTTTGCTCCCGTCACCACCTCCCCACCTGCCCACCTTCCAGGTCGCTGGGTGGCTGTCAGCCCCTGGAAATCATGCAGTGCCCTTGTGCTCCGATGCCAGTCCCTGCAATTACAGGTTGGCAGGCTCAGGGGCGAAGTGTGCCAGCTGGCATGGCAGCTTGCTGGTGGCCAGGCCTGAGTCTTGATGGCTCAGCCGCTCTGGACAAGAACTTGATCCATGAATGGGGCTGATCAGGTCTCAGCGCTGCCTCAGTACCATAACCTCATGGGAGATGTTTTCCTCTCCCTTCCTGGATGGGGTCAATGGTCCATTTTTGCAATTTGGAGATCAGTCACTGCCCTTTGGAAGGCTGTGCTGGACCTAGGTAAAGATGCTTAGTAAAGTCTCTTTCTCCGCCCAACAAGGGCTGACCCTTCCTGGGAGCTGGTGCTCTATCTTCCCATCCCTGCTCCTTCTCCCTACCTTTCTGTATGTGCAGGTGCATGTGAGAAGAGACATGCATACAGATGCTAAGGTAAGATGTGTGCATGCACATGTTGGTGCATGTACGATGTATGCACACATATGTGTGCTTGTGTGTGTTTAAGTGCATATTGTGAGACCAAAGCACACATGTGTACATGCTAGCCTGTTATTCAGCAAGTGCACACCAGGAAGCCCTGTGTTTTGTCTGATTTATGCCCTACCATATACATTATCATATTTTACATATCACCCCCCTTACCTGCACATGGAGTCCCTGGGTGGTATAAACAGCTCAGCTACTCACAGACAATTGGAGGTTCGAATCTACTCACAGGTTCCTCAGAAGAAAGGTATGGCGATCTACTTCTAAAACTCAGTCATTGAAAAAAATCCTACTCTGACACATATGGGGGTGACATGAATCAGAGACAAATTGCCAACGAGTGGTTCTGTTTTTTTACCTGCGTATATAAGTGATGGGGTCCCGGTGTGGCGCTGTGGGTTAATGCACCAGACTGCAAAGTCATTTGAACTGCAAGGTCAGCAGTTCAAGCTCACCAGCTGCTCCTTGGAAACCTTATACAGGGGCGCTGTGGGTTGGAATCTACTCAATGGCACTTAACAACAACAAATGTGAGTGAGTACGCACTTTTGTGAGGACTTGAGATGCAAGAGTTCGTGTGTGTGTGTGTGTGTGTGTGTCCCAGGCTGAGTGTCCAGGTATGTCTGTGCATGTGTGTACATGTGAGGTCTTGAGTATCTGTATCTGTGCACGTTTGTGCGATCACACAGGTAGGTGAATGTGTGTGCATGAGGGACAGTTTGTGTATGTGTGTGCATGAGGGACAGTTTGTGTATGTGTGTGCATGAGGGACAGTTTGTGTATGTGTGTGCATGCACGTGTCTCTGGCTAGGGATGTTCATTGTTACTGCCCCATTCCAAGCAGGAATTCTCCTGCAGGTGAGGTGGAGGAGGCTCCACATATATCAGGTTCCAGGCAGCTTTCCCAGGCCCGGCCACCCAGGAGGGACGATGTCAGTATGCAGGGGAGCATGGCCAGACTCTGAGGAGACAAGGCCAGAGTCGGAGTTCCAGGTCAGAAGTCCCCTCAGGGGCTGGTTTGGGGAGGAATAGTGGCGCCTGGGAAAATGGTGGGGAGGGGAGAAAGGATGAGGCCTGCACCAGGCCTGAGGAACATCAGGATAAAGAATGCACAGGAGTCAGTGGTCTGAGGGGGAGTGAGGGTGGGGTCCCTGGCTTCTGGCCTGGGTGAAGGCTACTTCCCATCCCTGAAGTGGGAATCAGAGAGGAAACGGCTTTGACAGCTCGCTGGTGGCCAGTTGTGACAGGGGTCTGCGTCTTGGCTGGCTCAGTCACTTTGGGTGAGGAGATGATTCCTGATGGGGCTAACTCAAGGAGAGAATTTGTTTGGGGACCTGGGCATTGAGACACTCCTGTGGCCCCCCAGAAGAGGGTGTACAGGAAGCGCTTGGGACTGCAGGGCTGAGACCACCACAGGAATGTTTTGAACCTCCCCAAAAATAAAGCAACACAATGTAACACCATTGCCATTGAGTTGATTCTGACTCATGGTGACCCCACGTGTGCAGAGTAGAACTGCTTCATAGGGGTTTTCAAGGCTGGGACCTTCCAAGTAATCACCAGGTCTTTCTTCCAAGGGCCTCTGGGTGGTTTCAAGCCCACAAACTCTGGGTTACTATTCAAGGCTTAACCATTTATACCACCCAGGCACTCCTTCATTTTGGGTAAGTCAGTTAAATTCTTCAAGTTGACTTTATTTCAAACCATGTGAACCCATGTCTGAATTAACCACGGAAACCATTGACGTCTACAACCTAATTTATACCTGGCCCATGAGATGGAATAACCAGCTTTAGAAGCACCCACTGGCAGTTGGAGCACATAGACCACCTCGTCACTGTACTATCAGGAAAACCAAGGCCCAGAGGGCAGCGCCTCTGTCCAGGTGGGGCTGAGGCCATCCACCCTGGAACGCTCTTGGAGAACCCCTCCTTGGAGAGCCAAGGAGACCTAGGAGACTGCCTCAGGAGACTCTATAATTATGGGATTAGGAGGCAGCCTCTCCCCAGCCTGGCCCTTCGCCCCTCAAAGCTGCTTGGTGGAGACAGGAGTTGGCGGCGCTGCGCCGGTTTCCAGGTGTGTCTGAGGAAACCTGGCATCCGCGGGCGGCTCCTTCAGCCTGAAAGGCCCCATTGTGGCTGCAGCCTCCCTCCATCAGCTCTATTTTGGGGTCGGGACCCACCCTGCTCCAGCTGGAGGAAGGAAAAGGTGTATTTCAGTATGTCCTGTGGGTGTGTGTGTGGGGCAGGGGGAGACAAAAGGGTAGGTGGCAACATAAGCAGTGTTGGCTGGACCTGGACGGTGTGGACAAACAGGAATGTCATCCTGGAGTTAGTTCCAGGTGGAGGTGGCAGACAAGTCAGAGGGGAGGGTGCTGTGGACGAGCTTTCATGTGGCCCCAGGAGGATTCTTGGCTGACCCTGACATGCTGGAATGTGGGTCTGCGGCCTGCCTGGCGTTCTGCCTGAAACCTGCAGCCAGGACTTCCTGATTCCCATCCCTGGTGGGGGGCTAGCTCTGTGCCCCAAACAGAGATCAGTCTGCCCTCCAGCTTTTCTTTCTGCTAGGCCTGTTCTGCCAATGCTCTGCCCCACTGGGCCTTTTTGCCCGCACACTCCCACTGGTCTGGTAGGTGCATTCTAATCTGCTGGCATCAGCCTGACCTGGTCTTGCTGCTCTCCTTGGTCGGTCCCAACCCTGTCGACCCTTCAGAACTCTGTTAACTGCCATCTCCGTCACTCTCCCAGGCTTTCCCCTGATTCCCCTCAGCGGCCTTGCCAGAGCTCCTCTACCCAACATCCCTACCTGGTACAGGGCCAGCCATAGGGGTGAGGGGCTCACTAGGAGGTGACTAGATATGTGGGCCCTTGGGCCTGAGAAATCATGGCGTCTTCCTATGGAGTGGGCTAAGGGAGTGGGCATATTCAGTGTGTAGTAGGGGTTCTGGCAGTGGTCATTCAGCCGCTGTGCTCTGGGTGCTCTCGGGCCTGGAGCCTGGGCTGCCTAGCTACAGACCCGTGACTTCTGGGATGACTAATTCCACTTCGGCAGTAAGCTCTTGGAAGCTCTGAAAAATGAGATTTCCCTCCTCTTGCTTCTTCTTGTTACTTCATTAAACTCCTCTTGAGTGAAGGGAATGAGGATTGTCCTAATCTCTTGGCACAAGGTGGGGTTGAGGGGTCAGGGAGCTGAGTGAGATGGGCCAGCAGTCACCAGTGAACAGTGGGAGCAAGCCCAGGTGGGCATATGAGGCAGTGCCCAGGGCCCGGGCTTAGTGCTGGAAGGCTTGTGCTTCAGTCTCGCTTTGTCCTGGCCTTGTCTGTGTAATGTGTGTTTCAGGCTCTACTCCCCTCCTGCTGTTCTGTAAGATTGCTTGTAGGCCTGCGGGAGATGCTCTGGGTGGGGTCTTGAGTCAAGCAGGCTATCCGGCACCCAGTAGATAGATTAACAGAAGAAGGGTGGGCAAGCTCTGAGCCTTTATTTTTAGAGTCTGTTTCTCCATCTTTTAATGGGGTATATCTGGGTGCTCTGGTAGCGTAGTGATTAAGAATCCAGCTGTGATCCGCAAGGTCAGCAGTTCGAAACTACCAGCTGTTCTGCGGGAGAAAGATGAGGTGTTTTGCTCCCGTAAAGATTTACAGCCTCAGAAACCGTGTACAGGGTCACTATAAGTCGGAATCGACTCCACAGCACACAACAACAAATCTGGGTGCTCTGGTTCCCTCCTATGGGTGATTCTGTAGACAGCCTGCTTCATTAGGAAGAGCGTTGTTCTCAGACCCAGGTCTGGCCTAGATGAGGATGTCTACCTGCCTGTAAGGCCGCTAGAAGTGGATAAACAATCCCAGACCTCACCCACTCCAGTATGCCTTGAGGGTGCCTGACTCTCGGGAGCCTCAGCTACCTCTCTCCACAGATGGGAAGAGACCCCAAGCAGCAGGCAGTGCTTGAGAGCTGGTGACTGAGATCTGAGAGCCTCACCCAGGCCACCTTTTGTCTACAGGTGTTCCTGGCCCTTGGGGAGCTGCTGCTATCCTGCAATTGGGCAGTGGTTGCTGACATCTTGCTGGTAAGTGTGGGCATTGGGATGGGGATTGGTCCTATCCACCTCAGGGCTGGATGTCTGCTTTTGAGCTGCTGGGGGCAGCAAGGGGTTCCAAACACTGCAGGGTAGGAAACCGAGGTCACCGAGTGGTTAGTTACCTTGGACCATGACTCAAATAACATTTCCTCTGACTGTTGCCCCCACTTTGCAGAGAGCGCATGTGCCTGGACCAAGTTCACAGTGTGCCAAGCACTGAGGCAGGACTGGAGTTTGGGCTTTTTGACTTCAGGGCCCCTTTTCAGCAAACCTCCATTCTGGGGTACGTGGACATGGGAATGCAGGACTTCAGGGCTGCAACTGTTGAGTCCAGGCGGGTCCAGGCTGCCCCAGGTCCCAGGTCCCAAGCTGCAATGCAGGGAGGCTGGCCCAAGTAGGAGTAATTGTTCAGACACTGTTCTGACCACATGGCTTTGCTAAGTCCAGAGTTCAGTCTAGTACCTTCCTGAGCCTCACTTTCTTCCCTGTCTCTTGTGGGAAATACACAAGAAAGGACTTTGAAGTAGGGCTTCAACTGGTTCTTCCTGGTTCAGTCATGGATGACACTACGAAACCAGGATGGACCCAAATATGTAAAGTATGGGTACATCAAAATGATAACTGATGGGAAACATTATAGGTCAATGTCCTGCTAGAAACTTAATTTCTTTCTTAGAAAATAAGAGCAGTATGTACATCGCATAGCAACCAAATCTCTTGACTGGTAGAGTCAGAAATGACAGTGCCAGGCTCAAAACTGGCAGTCAACTGTGTTACCTTGAATGTGTGCTGTTCTCCCCAGTCTTGGCAGCAATCCGATCTCCCACGCTGGGCTCCTGAAGGGACTTGTTATACTTCCGAGGCTTTGACCCATAATTTTCTCTGTAACGGTACACCCAAATTTTATAAATTCAGGACTGTTCTGATTTTGTTGTGTCAGCCATGACTGAACTAGGTCCACCCTGTTTGAACACGATGAAAGGCTGTGTCCTTGTGTATGACACAGGACCTCAGACCTAGGAACACTTCAAGACCCTCCTCCTGCCTCTTTGTGGAAGGTGCTGCCATAGTCCAGTGCTGGGTACGTGGGAACCAGAACAGACTGACAGTTGGCTGGTAGCTGCCCTGAGGGTGGTCCAGTGTAGGGTCATGAAGCTGGGCTCAGGAAACCTGCAGTCCTGGTTCTGCAGGTCATTAGGTGTGTGATCTTAGGCAAGTCACTTTATGTCTCTGAGCCTCAGTTGTCCAATGTGGAAAATGGGGATGATAATTGTACCTACCTCATGACTGTTAGGTGGTTAGAATGAAATTATGGATATGAAGCGTTTGCCCAGTGCCCATTACAGAGAAGGTCTTCTGCAGATAATGGGTTGAGATTCTGACAGCAAATCAAGGTCTCCATTGTTTCATTTTCTGTCACTCAAAGGGAATCCCTGAATGGTACAAATGATTCACATGCTAGGCTGCCAACTGAAAGGTTAGAGGTGCCTCTGAAGAAAGACCTGGTAATCTACTTCCCCCAAAAATCAGTCAATGAAAACTGATTTTACTCTGACACGGCTATGACAGCAACTGGTACTACCCCCAAAAGAAAGCCTGGTGTCTTAGAATCCAAGTAGGAAGTGTTTTGGGGGATTTGTTGTCATTTAACTAGTCAACAAGGTCTGCTTGAGTCCTGATGTTGATGGGAGGCTCACTCACTACCCCTTCCCTGAGCAGTTCTCATGATCCTCTCCCCCTGGTGCCGGTTCAAGCAAGTGTGGACGGGATTCATTGCCTGTGGCTTCTGGGTGGAACCCTTCTCTGTCCCTCCTTCCAGACAGCAGGCTCTGACTCCAGCCAAACTCAGCCACAGACCCGCTGTGTGACCTTGGGCCTCAGTTTCCTTGTCTATAAAAAGGGATGATCAGAGCCTGCCTGGCAGGGTGAAGGAGCCCGCGTGTGGGAAAGCCTTCGGTTACCGGGGAACAAGCCGGCAAGCTTTGTGTGGTTGTCCATCTCCATGTTATTTGTTTATTTTGTGGACAGTTGCATTTATTAAGGTGTCAGGGTAGAGTAAGCAATGAGCTCTGCTAGTGGGGTTAACAAGTAAAACTTTTAAATTACCACCTGGTGTTGGGTGCCATGTAGTTGATAGTGATCTCATGTGCCTGCTTGTGGTATGGTGCTGTGGGATCAACACTGGACTTCAAACCACTAGCTGCTCCTTGGAAACCCTATACAGGGTCGCTGTGAGTTGGAACTGACTTGACAACACTCAACAACAACAATGACAAACATGTGCCTACTGGTTGTGGTCAAGTTGATTCCAGTATTTACTGACCCCATGTAACAGAGTCAACTTGCCCCATAGGATTCTCTCAGCTGTAATCTTTACAAGAACGGATAGCCAGGTCTTTCTTCCACCTCACCACTTTCAAACTCTCCTTTCTCCCCTTCCCCCAACATGCTGTTAGGTCAGTTCCGATTCATAATACCCTATGCACAACAGAAGGAAACACTGCCAGTCCTGTGCCAACCTTACAATCACTGTTAAGCTTGAGCCCATGGCTGCTACCAATGTGCCAATCCATCTCATTGGGGGTCTTCCTCTTTCTCGTTGACCTTCCATTGTAACAAACATGATGTCCTTCTCCAGGCACTGGTCCCTCCTGATAATATGTCCGAAGTATGAGACATGAAGTCTCTCATAGCTTGTCTCAACATAGTTTGTCCTCTCTCCCACAGTTCAGCTGAAACTGCCCCCTGCAGCTTCCTCCTGACCTCCCACGGTGTTGCTCCCTTTTCCACATGACAGCCCCACAGATATGTGAAGACCAAGCCTGGGTCCTGCAGTGTCTGTGTGCACAAGAATGATTAACTTGGCAGAGCCAGGCTCTCTGTGGAGCCATGAGGGGCGGCTGAGGTGGGGGAGATGCCCTGTGGCTGGCCAGCTGTGTTTGATTGGCTCTGTGGTGCGCTGGCTGGACATGATCCCCACCCCAGTGTTCCTTGTAGTCCCTTCCTGGCCTGGAGGCCTCCAAACCCCAAGCTTAGCAAGGTCCACCACCCTATCGTCCCACCTTCCTGAAGCACCTCTACCTCAGACTAACTGTCTTGCTGCTCTTTAGTGGTCAGAGCTAGACCCAACCTTGCAGCCCATGGAGTTCAGTTCCCCATGTTGCTATGTCCTTGCCTCAAACAGGGGAGAGTCAGGACGGTTGGTCACAGGATCACATGCAGACAAGGGCCAGGTTGTTGTGGCCTCAGTCTGTAGTGTGGAGCGGGTTGAGGTGAAGAGACGATCTGGAGCATAGACAAGCCCCTCAAGAAACTGCATTGAGAAGAGGAGAGAGAGGGGTTTGCTGGTAGAGGATCTGGAGACTGCTGGTGCTTCTCAAGAGGTGAGGCAGCAGCAAGTCTCATGTTTCAGAGGGAGGAACGCCTGGGCTGAGGAGAGAGCTGGGAGTGGAATCCAAAGCAGAGGAAGGAACAAGCCTCAGAGAGGATGCCTGATGCTCCTACACTGAGGCAATCAATAGGCTAGAGACAGTCGGTGGCAGCAAGTGTGTGGGGTAGGGGATGTGCGGCAAGAAGTGAAGGAAGGTCCCATTTGCTGGCCTGAACATGAGGAGATAAGCTTTTCATTGGGCAGGGGCCTGTGGAGAGAAAGGAGGCCCTGGAGTGTGTGTATGTGTAGAGGGAGAACAGGACAAGGAGAGCAGGTAGCTAAGGAGAGGGGAACATTCAGGAAAGCAATTTTGGGCTGGGAAGGAAGCCAAGGGACTGATGAGAAAACAGGTGGAGAGACTATAGGTTTTTGGAAGGTTGGGAGCCTATGGGTGGGGTCAAATGGCAAGGGGGTAGCATGGCTAGGAGCTAAAACTTGAGCTGACCTTTCTGCCTCAACCCCCAGCCCTGTCACTCTCTAACTCTGTGACCCTGGCCAAGTGATAACCTCCCTGGGTCCTCGGGTCCTCAGTTATACAACGGATTTGTTGTTGTTGTGAAGTGCTGTTGAGTCGATTCCAACCGATAGCAACCCTGTATAGGGTTTCCAAGGAGCAGCTGGTGAGCTTGAACCACTGACCTTGCAGTTCAAAAAACAGGACATTTAAAAATGGCCAATTGCCATTGAGTAATGCTAACTCATGGTAACCCCAGGTATGTCAGAGAAGAATTGTGCTCCACAGGGTTATCAGTTGCTGGTGTTTTGGAAGTAAAGTGCCAGACCTTTCTTCCAAGGTGCTTCTGGATGTACTCAGTGGTATGCCTCTTGTTGGTTCACATATTCACAAGGAGAATCCAGATTCTCTCTAGGGGAAGGGACCTCAGGGACTCGCTGTCCAGCAGTTCTTAAACGTCACTCTGCAGAAGGAGTACCTGGTTTGAGGGGAGCTTGTTACAAATTCAAATTCCAGGCCTTCCGCTTCAGAGTCTGATTCAGTGGGTCTATGACAGGGCCCAGGGATCTGTATTTCAACCTCCCAAATGATTCTGATGTTAGTGTTCCTTGGAACACACTTTGAGAAACCCTAGACTAGCCCGGTCAGCTTCCCAAGTGCACACATCTTCCTCAAAATCTCAACTGTCAGCAGTTCCGCTCCTACTCACATACTCCTTTGATGGGGAGCTCACTTCCTGCACTCTAGCAGCCCCTGACTCCTGGTAGCTCTGTTGATGAAAATCATCTGGCAAAGTCATAGGGAAGACAAGCTCCCAGGCCCAGTGTGGCCCTGAGATTGTCCCCCATACCTGCTTTTTCCCAGGCTGAACACCCTACCTCTCCAATCTATCTGAGACGGACTCTCCAGTCCCACCCCCCACCTGTCTGTCAGGACCCCCTGGGTGACCCAACGCCAGCTCAGTCTACCCCGATGCAGTACAGAGCAGAGGGGGAGAGCTTGCCCACTCTTTCCCAGTACTGTACTCTGGGACTCTGAAACTCAACCACCAGGCTCAGTTCCTACCTCCTCAGCATATTTTCCCCAACCCCATGGAGGGTTATC